TGTTTTTTTTCAAGGTATTCATGTTCCTTGTATGTCGTATTTTTGTAATGGTCATATGATACAGATGAGATGTTCTATAATATATTTTGAGTTGTTCATTAAGTATCAATATGATGTTCCACAATTAAGTGAAGAAAAACAGGACTAAGCGTGAGGACAGTGTTTAGAAAGTAAAAAAGAACAAGACAAACAGGAGAAAAAAAAGACCTCACACATCTCTCGCCATCAAACTACATGGGTCTAATTTAATCATACAAAACGAGTTAATTTGTGGCAAGACTAATGCCTGATTGTTGGAAAATGGAACTTATTATTTGCATGTACTTAAAAGTAGTGCTTTCGTGTTTGAAAACAAAAATGCACATATGACCGTCCAGAGATACATGCTTCACATGTTTATAAAAAAAGAAAGATAAGAGAATAAATGAAATGAAAAGCTATTGGGCTGCCATTTGTTGGCCATCCAATCCGCGTAAAATGCTTACCCTAATTAATCCATTCAACCGCCTTCAGCCCTTCACCGCTTACGATTCAGGAATGAAGCTGGCGGTGTCAACGTACTATGACTTCTTTAAATTCCAAACTTATTCAGCACAAATTTATCTCTCGCCCAAGCAGATGATGATCACGTGGCCTAACATGGTTCAACAAGTGGAGCAGGTACCTAGTCGGCGTCTCCCTTGGCAATGATCAGTCAGTCCATATCAACTCTCGTGGTTAACGAGTAGGGGGTGAAAGTGGTATGGATAATCCCCTTCTCTGATCTACTCTGAATCTGAATTTTAAGGATTTGAAAAAATATCTTTAATATCTGTGCACATGCAGATAATCTGAATCTGATTATATGCGGATGCGGTGTAAGATATATATGAGATTGACAAAATCTGATTATATGCGGATGCGGTGTAAGATATACATGAGATTGACGAAATCTGGCAGATATGAATTATGCACTTCTTCCTATCGGATATGGATTATGCGGTTCTTCCCATGAACCAGTTGCACGCGCCGGGGCTCCGACCTCTTTTAGTAGATGTGATTCCAAGCATCCCGTGTCGACTGTCGATGACTCGTGTGACACGTCCTTGTCTCGGCGTGGCTATTGTCTCGATCTCTCCTCTAGTCCTCTCGATCGCGACCTCGCGGTGTCCGAAGCTGCGCGTGCACATATATGCCGGTCGGCGAAGAAATTTTGCAACATTTTCACCGGATCCAAACCCTCATGCATGCGGGCAAATGCGTGGGCGTGCGATGTTCATCTAGCCACTTGGAGCACGCATGCAGCTTGGGGGCTGGACGACGCGTACGGCGGCGCCGGTTCATGTACAGGACACCCATTTTCTCTACACGTCTCTTTGACTCTGCTATGTACATTGCATTCCCATTACGTCACCTAGGATTTTTAGGGGCGGCTTAAGAACATTTATAGCAACGGTTTGATTAGCCGCCCTTAAAATCATTGCTACAAATGACCGATTTGTAGGGGCGGAAAGGCGGCTATTGATTTGTAGGAGCGGCTAGATCCGTTTTCCAGAAATCACGAAATCGTGTCAAAAAATAGCAATTTTTTTTAATACGAGGATGCCTCCACCGGTTAGCCACCCGCTTTTGTTGCATAACTTTTCAAAATCTACAACTTTCGCTTTTGTTGTTTCAAAAATAGCAATTTTTTTAATTCAAATTTTAAATTTTAGAAATTCAAATATAGCCACCGACAAGATGATTTCAAATAACTTATCAAAATCTATATCTTCTTTCTACAGCTTTCATTTAGTTGTTTCTCCATCCGAGGTCATTTGAAAAATTAAAATTTTAAATTTTAGAAATTCAAACGTAGTTTTCCTTGATAAAATGAATTCAAATGAAAATATTGTCAACTATAAAGTTCTATAACTTTTTGAGATCTACAACTTTTATTTTGGTCATTTGTTCATCCGACATAGTGGTAGTACAAATCTTACATATCTCTCTACTACCACTATGTCGGATGAACAAATAACCAAAATAAAAGTTTTAGATCTTGATCATTTATATAACTTTTATGTTCATAACTTTTTCGGCTAAAATCATTTAATGTTTCAAAATGACGTTTGAAGTTGTCATTTTTTAAATTCAAATTTCAAATTGATAAAACATAGTCACGTGAAAAGATGACCAAATAATTGATGTAAGAATACAATAAATTGATATAGCATGATTTTATAAAATTTTAGAAAAAAAATCATCAAATTTGAAGTTAGTATGAGAGAGAAAGACTAGTTACAAATTTTAGCCAGAGGTTAAAAAGAGAAATAAGAGTTCTTCGACAATTTAAAAATTAAATTTCTAACACATTTTTAAATAGTAAATGATTTCAAATGAAAAAGTTATAAACAACGTTCTATAACTTTCCGAGATGTACAACTTTTATTTTAGTCATTTCTCCATCCGACGTTGTTTAAAAAAATTCAAATTTTAGTACTTAATTTTTAATATTCGACGTCTATTTATAGGGCTCCTACAAATTAGATTTGTAGAGGTGGCTGGATATAGAGCCGCTCCTACAAATAGGGCCATTTGTAGAGGCAGCTGATAACACCAGCCGCCCCTACAAATCCATTTGTAAGGGCAGCTCGTTTAGAAACCATTTGTAGTAGTGTCCTACATATGTTTTTTTTTTATTTTTACATTTGCACACGAGCATAGGCACAGCAAGTGTTTTTTTCTTTGCTCTTATATCAATTGTCACGTCCTTTACGCAGCATCAATTATGTTTGTAGCCTGCATGTCTGTTTTTCCATGTTTGGGCTCTGAATTTCTTTCTGTCTTCTAAGGGCCTGTTCATAATATGAGAAATTTTTTATTGTTCCTATATTTTTCTGCAAAATTAAAGTGATTCCTATAAAATTCTTGTATGATTCCTATATTCCAAGCAGATTCTAATGAATCTGACAATTATTAGATAGGAATAAGAAGTAGTTCGCTGAAATTTGGCTTGTGCTGAAATATTGTGAGAGGAAAACAATATTCGTTCGCTAAAAGTATTGCTGAAGCAGTGCTGTAAAACCGGACGAGTATGTCTAAATGTAATTCTCACCAAGTACACGCCCAACTTTCCTTCGACATCTTTATTCTGGATTCGAGGTTCAGTGCCTATATATTTCTGAATTTCTCTTCTTTTTTCTACATACTGTGGATATAAAACACTGATGTTTTTGGGTTTCAAATGTTGAACTAGTTATTGGGTAAAACCATTCAAACCACTTAATTTGAACTACTCAGCTTTTCCATTTGATGACAATTTTTTTTACTAATTGGATTTTTTTTCCTGCCGTTGCCACACTAACACATGAGATTAGAAATCGCATCCTAGATTGGTGCTTAGCACCCGTTTGGTAGAGTTCTAGTTGTGGCCAAAACAAATTTAGGTGTGACTAACGTGCATGTGAAGAAAACATGGGGCTCTGCGTACTTAGCTGACCAGAAAATACCCTTTGGTACGATGGGCAGCAGAACAGCTCCTGAAGTCGTTTGAAAATCTATTAGGCCATTTGGGAGAGCTCCTAGGGGATCTGCCTCCTCGAAGTCGTGCACTGTTTATAGTGTTGTTCATTAGAGTCGTTTTTCCCTTTCCTATCAAATGAACTAGGAGTTGAGAGGAGCCACTATTTTTAGTTCGTCCGGCTTTGGCCTCGACCACTGCAGCACGGAGAAGGAGCCGAGAGGCGTCCGGCCAAACCCACCCTATACCGAATGGACTCTTTAGTCATGCATTACTTTGAAAAGGCATGTGACAAAATTTGGAGCAGGCCTTGCACTAAAATATCGATTCCTCCCACCCAACGTCAGTTAAATAGTCAAATCCGGGATGAGACGCATTAGATTGATCGTGCATGACGAAAAACTCGAAGCTCGTTAGCTCGCTCAGCTCGTGGCTAACTCGACTCGGCTCGACCCGATCGTTACAATAACGAGCCGAGCCAAGCCAAGATTTTAGCTCGTTAGCTATAACGAGCCAACTCGAGCCAGCTCGCGAGCTAAATGAGCCAAGCTTCCAAGAAAAAAAGTATCAAAACTTATATTAGTTTTTGTATTACTTCATGTCTTGCACTTTACAATTGACTGGTAACTGGTCTAGACCCTATAAATTGACTGGTAACTGGTCTAGATGCATTTCTTTTGTATTATTATTATTCTCAAACTTTAGATAAATGCAAATATTATATTTTGTGTATTTTTTATACCTGGCTCACGATCTTAACGAGCCAGCTCGAGTTTTTAACGAGCCGAGCCGAACTGGCTTTCTAGCTCGTTAGGATAACGAGCCGAGCCGAGCTAGCTCGTTATCTTAACGAGACGAGCTGAGCCGAGCCTCGCTCGTTATCCAGCCTTAATCGTGCACTAACTGCAGTGGCACACTCACCGAGCTATTAGCTGACCTGTTCAAATCTCTACAAACACCCATTTGTTAATGGAACGCCCAATTTGCTCAATAGTTTGCTGGCACGCACTACTAACTCCACTATACTTACCATCTCTTATCTATAATCTATACAATTGTGCATGATCTTCAAGACTTGGTCCGGCAAGAGATTGAGCAGTGACTTAGAATGAGAGAAGGGCAACAAATACCAATTCAAAACTCAACAAGCTCCTGTATTTTGCTTCAGCTTGGTCGGCCTCTGTCCCATCTCCTCCATTCTGTCCATTTTCAAGTGACCCGCCGCACAACGATGCATGGCAGCCTCAGATCTGCAAGATCAAGTCAACCAGCGATGGCGCGGTGGACCAGTGCACCCATCAGTCACCTCACCACCACCATCCACCATCGGCCGGCCGTCCTTGTCTCTTCCGTGCGTCCCGACGCTCCACTAGCAGAACACCTCTATATGTAGCGCACGCCTGTGCGAACATGCCGCTCCAGCACTCATTCCGTCATCCAATACAAACCGCACGCACGCACTAGGGCTAGATCACTGGTGACACTACTCGCAAGTTGATCGCAATCATCATCGACGACAATGGCGTATTCTTGCGCCGTGCACGGCGCCTCGTGGATCGCCGTGGTCGCTTTCCTTGTTGCTTCCGGCAGCGTCATCCGCGTAGAGGCGAGGTACGGCCCTAGGCACTGGAGCCCTGCCCCTGCCCCTGTGGCGGCCCTCGTCAGCGAGCAGCTGTACAACTCCCTGTTCCTGCACAAGGACGACGCCGCCTGCCCCGCCAAGGGCTTCTACACCTACGCCTCCTTCATCCAGGCCGCCAGGACGTTCCCCAAGTTCGCCGCCACGGGAGACCTCAGCACCCGCATGCGCGAGGTCGCGGCCTTCTTCGCGCAAATCTCTCACGAGACCACAGGCGGTTGGGCGACGGCGCCGGACGGCCAGTACGCGTGGGGCCTGTGCTACAAGGAGGAGATCAGCCCGGCGAGCAACTACTGCGACGCGACGGACAAGCAGTGGCCGTGCTACCCGGGCAAGTCCTACCACGGCCGGGGCCCCATCCAGCTGTCCTGGAACTTCAACTACGGGCCGGCGGGGCAGGCGCTGGGCTTCGACGGCCTGCGCAACCCGGAGGTGGTGGCCAACTGCTCCGAGACCGCGTTCCGGACGGCGCTGTGGTTCTGGATGACGCCGCGCCGGCCCAAGCCGTCGTGCCACGAGGTCATGGTCGGCGAGTATCGCCCGACGGCCGCCGACGCCGCGGCCAACCGGACGGCCGGCTTCGGGCTCGTCACGAACATCGTCAACGGCGGGCTAGAGTGTAATCGCACGGACGATGCCCGAGTCAACAACCGGATTGGGTTCTACCAGAGGTACTGCCAGATCTTCAACGTCGACGCCGGCGCCAACCTCGACTGCGCACACCAGCAGCCGTACTAGTGCCTATTGGTAGCTAGCCACTACTTGATTAACGCGGGGTTCTTTAAGCTGTTTCTATCAGAGTTGATTAAAGTATATTAGCGTTTTGGATGAATGGACGTATTCTCTTGTTCTGACCTATATATACCTACAAACAAATATGAATAAAGAACAGTAGACGACGTCACCTGTGAGTTACACGCTTTGCCTCAACCGTCTGTATACTGCTAATTATGCAAATTCGTCCTCCATGCACGGCAATCAACAAAGAGAGAATGCAAGAAGTTCGGCGGTCAGCATGTGAGCATGTTTCAAACAATTTTTTTTGGAGATTTTTACCTCACTATTTTCTTGCTTAGTTTCTTCTGTTTCTTCAGATTTGGAGGTATGCAGCTCCTCGGATGACAGAGACGTACGCACGACCTGCTGCTCTCAAATAATTCTGAATTTTGCATATTTGGTTTGATTGGTACAGGTAAAGGGTATATAACCTAGTGCATTTTTTTATGGCAGATGTAGTATTCAGCGGGTTTCCAACAGAGGTGCAGATAAAATTGTTCTGCACAAACAGTAACATTTTATCTAGTCATGTTGAAATGAGTTCTGAGCTTTCAATACTGATATATGAATTTCGTTTTAAAAAGTATGGCTCCCTAGTATTTTTGTTTTGCTATCTTGCCTTACTTTTGCACTAGTGGCTGATGTCTCCTGGGTATGCATAATTTTAGACTAGGATAATATAGCAGTTGATTGCTGGCATAGTGAAACTGCAGCCTCCTCCTCTGCTTCTTGTTGAGCTCTGTTGCTCTAACGTAGCAAGGACGAGATCCCTGTCCTTCAGGTCTCGGAAGCGAAGAGAATAGCAGAGTCCATTGCATGGTTGGCTCCTGATTTAGCAGGTGATGGGGTCCATGACACAAGATCGGGTCATTTCTGTCATTTTGTTGTTGAACCCTCAGCACGATCAGTCCTTATGGTGGTCATGTTTGTTAAAGACTGTTTTTCTTATTATCTATGTACTCTACTTGTATTCTTTCAATCCATGCGAATTGTTGATAGTGTGCTGATTAAGAGCGTGTTTGGTTTACACCTTCTAAAATTTAGTCACCTAAATCAGCTCCTAAAGTTTAGTCACCCCATGTGTAACACCCCGGCTCAGGGCTTAATATGATTAATAGGATACTCGTACCAATAAGTTGCAACTTCTTTTCTGGAAGCCCATCTCTTAAGAACTTTAAGGTTAAGCGTGCTTGGCCTGGAGCGATGGGTGATCGACCGGGAAGTTCTGCATGAGTGAGGACAAAGTGCGCAGAAAAAACTGATGTTGGTCTGTGAGGGCAGTCTATGTCCTAGGAAAGCTATCAGATATAAGCGGGCCTAGCCTCGAGGAGGCGGGCGTTACGTGAATATGGTATCGTCAGACCTCGACCCTTGTGGTTTCAAATGGAACGAAAACGATGCGTGTGTCAATTCTTGCAGTATAGTGCGCATGGCTAGTGTAGACCAGAGTGGTCACCAAAGATGGCGCCGCATCGACACACCTGGACGTGGCCAAGAGGGGACGTTCTGGCACAGGGTTGACCGACGAGGACGCTCGGTCTCCTAAGGGGTGAGGATGTAACACCCCTTCTACCTTCCACTCAGGGCTTAATAGGATTAATAGAATACTCGTACTCAACTGTGAAGTTTAAGAAAAACAATTCGGTGAGATTAAGTTATTACCAATTCAATGTTGGGAAGTTGCAACTTTTTTTCTGGAAGCCCATCTCTTAAGAACTCCAAGGTTAAGCGTGCTTGGCCTGGAGCGATGGGTGACGGACCGGAAAGTTCTTCCCGGGGGCGCATGAGTGAGGACAAAGTGCGCAGAAAAGACTGATGTTGGTCTGTGAGGGCAGTCTATGTCCTAGGAAAGCTATTAGATGTAAGCGGGCTTGGCCTTGAGGAGGCGGGACGTTACACCCTGTTTGGTTGGGTGGACTAAAAGAGACATTTTAATTTCTTTTAGTCAGGGTGTTTGGATCCAAAGTGACTAAAATGTGAGGCAGTCTGACTAAAAGGTGGACTTTAGTCCCATTTAGCAACACTTAGATAACTAGTTGGCTAATACACTTTTTAGTCCCATTTAGTCATAGTGTTTGAGTAAAAGTGACTAAATAGGACTAAATGAGACTAGATTTAGGAGGAGTGAACCAAACACCCCCTAAACCAGTGGCAACATAGGCATTGGACTTGTCTTTATGGGTGCTCGGAAGGGTTACAAATATATAAATTGGTTCAATACGAGCAAGAACTTCAGAAACAATAGGATTATATTCCATGTACAAGTCAGTAACAATGTACCAAACCAATTCTTCAACATCAAGGGGCATGACAATAAATGTCAAGACACCAGCTAACAGCTTCATCTTCTGATATATATATATATATATATATATATATATTCAGCAATTAATCATTAGGGTTCCCTTCTAGGAAGTTGCTATGTGATCCTACGGTTGATAACCATGGCACGAGTTTACGAGGCATAGATGGCCTCGAGCCCCCTTCATACTTGAGCTGCAATTCCATATAGTTGCCACCACCTATGCCAATCGTGCCTAGAGCGGGTGATAGCAAGTAGCTAAGAACATGCATGTCTTTAGCCAACCACTAGGATACACATGGTTCGACTTGTACACAATCTTGTTGTCATCCTTATCATTGATCTAGACATCAGGAATGGCCATAGAGGCATCAAGGGAGCCTACCAGCTATGCATTGTGTACCGCATGGATGACATGTTTATGTTTCATAAAACATGGATTTGGAGAGCTTCTCACTCAACTGATGATAAAGAGCCTACACTACTACAGAATTCATCATCACCAATGATACATTCGCCGCCAGTTTGCTCCAAACCTTTGGTGATGCTCATCACTGCCAATTCATCTTACGAACTGCTATTGAAAATGGGGCCGATTATCACCACTAGTTGGTAACTTCTTATCACTGCCGACATGGCACGTGATGCATTTTGTGATTTTCACCGCCAGATCATAAGGCGCACCAAAGTGGTAGTTTCTTTCACCACCGGATGTAATGGTGGCGTGTCCTTCCATCTGAAAACCGGCGGCAAAAAATTATTATCTCCGCATATTTCTTATTGCATCGCGTATTGTATGAATCACCGGCGGTGCTAAAACGTTCTACCGCTAGTCACACGCACAGTGCGATGGAGAAAGCCAGTACTATGTCTGCCGCCGGATACGCCAGGCCGACGGTGAAAATGTTTATCACCGTTGGTGGACTACCCAGATGGGACCTCTTAGCCCGTAAGCTGGCGGTGATAATTATCACCGCGGTTGTCTCAAAACCGTGAGACATACTAATATTAATAGTGAAAAGGAGTGTTGGCTTCCATACTCTCTTTCCTAATTTGTTTGTACAGCAATGATTTTTTTATCAAATCATCTATCAACTAAGGTTTGAAAATCATGGTAGACCGTAAATACTTTAGACATGTGCTTAAGAATATAAACATTGGTAAATTTACTATTATCATCAGTAAACATGACATCATTTTCTACTTACTAATTAATTTAGTAGCCTGACACAAACATCATGAAACACAAGCTAAACATTGGTACATGTAGGATAGGGCAACAGATGGCTCTTGCCTTTTGGACATGCATCAAAATAGATTGTTTCTTGTTTTCACTTGTATAAATATATTCTAACAAGTATTCTGATGAACAATGGAAAAAAGATGGGTGTCCTAACTGATTATGCCATGTGTTGGATGAAGGTTTCATGGTGCCACAAGCAAGCTTTCTAACCAAAGTGAACCACATGGAATGGGGGTATAGGCCGCATCCACATTTCCCTTGCATAAGTGTTTTCCTCGTTACACTCTAACTAGAAAGTCTTTTGGTGAAAATTTTGAAAAAAATTTATTATTGGTAGGAAGTTAATGAACATAGATTGGATTCTTTGAAGCATTAGGGACATGAAGAACATCTTTGGGAACAAGATTCCTACTCAATGTATGCATAGTAGATGGACCAACATATCTAATTTCCATACCTAAAGCATTTGCAACATGGATCTCTGGTCATTGCCACCATACTTCTCACTCATTGTAGGCTTTTCCTACTCACTAGTGGTGTTGATCTGTGGCGCCAGTGTTGATTTGTATATACTAGATCGAATCCAAGCTGTAGAACGATGGTGCAACAACAACGTTTCATTCATCGTGCGCAAAGTTCTCTTTGAATATGTGCCAGCAATGTGAGGCAAAATGAATGTCCTCCTTGAAGCAAACATGGTATCTAGTATTGCTGTGAGGTTAGTTTCCACTCGTGTTGTTAGAGAAAGTATGGGTGGCTTCTATTGTTGCCAACATAGTTTGAGTCGCGGCTACCACCACGGACAAAATAATTGTCTTCATGAATGCCACCACGGGATGAAGAATTTGTGTATGAATGGGAACATCCACTGTACAAGAATCAATATATTGCTTGTAGCTAAGTAATTTGAATAAAGTTCTCCAATAGAAATTGGTTCAATATGAGCAAGAACTTCAGAAACAATAGGGTTATATTCCATGTCCAAGTCAGTAACAATGTACCAAACAAATTCTTCAACATCAAGGGGCTTGAGAATAAATGTCAACACACCAGCTAACACCTTCATATACTGATATATTTAGCAATCATTAGGGTTATTCCCTTCTAGGAAGTTGCTACGCGATCCTATGGTTGATAACCATGGCACGAGTTTACGAGGCATAGATGGTTCGAGCCCTCTTCATACTTGAGCTGCAATTCCATATAGTTGCCACCACCTGTGCAAATCTTGACTAGAAAGGGTGATAGCAAGTAGCTAAGAACATGCAGGTCTCTAGCCAGCCACTTGGCATACACATGGTTCGACTTATACACAATATTTTTGTCATCCTTATCATTAATCCAGACATCAGGAATGGCCATAGAGGCATCAAGGAAGCCTACCAGCCATGCATTGTGCATCGCATGGATGACATG